TTTTAATTCCGAAATTGCTATTTTTATCTTGTAATTGCTGATTATTTGAAATAGTAATTTTCCCTAAAAAAAAGAAAAGCTTTATTAAGATCAGAATACATAACGAAAGATAATAAAGAAAAACATTCGGTCTTTATTTGGTCAAATTTTTCTTCCTAAATAGGAAAATAACTTCGATTCTTTAAAAACAACAACAACAACAACAACAACAAAATCATGAGCTTTTCTTCGTAATTGGAAACGGATGTTGGACTCAATTTCATTGTTCATTTCAGTCCCCGACGATTACAGACTTATCTCTATAAGCTAAATAAACGAACTCTCAAAAAAGGTTAAATGATTAGAATCAGTCCCTTTCCAATTAGGAATGTGAAGCTGATGTATTTTGATATCGATCAGGTGAACGACCTGACATTTTCTTTTGGTCCCACTCATGAGACATTTTTTAATATATATTATCAACATTTTCCCTACCGTGTGTGCTACCAAAGAAGATGAAACACTAATTATCACATCAAAGTTATTGATATTGATTCCTTTCAGTTTGGTATGACCGATGAATAAATGAATTTGAGTTAATATATCTACTTTCGAAGGTTCAGTCGTACTAATACTCATGACATTTTTATCTATCAATTTCATCAGGACTCTAGAATCCTATAAGACAAGAACAATCATTCTGGTCGTATGTATTATTTTTAATATTGTAAAAATAATACATATGGTCATAATGATTGAACCGTCTGAAAAGATAAATTACAGTCTATGTTAGCATTTATAATTAGTACGAAAATATGCATGAAAAAAAAAACAATTAAATTAACAGTATTTCGTATTGTCCGCCATGGCCCAAGATGGATGTTCATGTAGCGTATGATTTAGCGACAAAGAAATCAGTGAAATGAGTTAAAATTATTCCTTGGTTCATTCCATTCACTTTCACCTAAATAACATTGTAAAGTATAATTCATCTCTTCTCCCTATTTATGCCATAGATTAAGTAGCTGGACATACTGCCTTGCTTTCAAGGGGCAAGTTGTCTAAAGAATGAAAGATTCGCCTTTAAACCAACATGAAGATGGATAGACTTCTTCAGACTTTGTTACTTAGGTAAATGCTTCCTAGACATTTTTCTTGGACGCATTATCGGAATTAACATTTACTCGCGCTTCACCAAATTTTATGTGATGAAAAGTACACTTAAAAATAAAAAAAACAGAGGGTTAACGAGATATAGTCGCGGAGTCGAAGTCAGAAAATTATCATTGATAACTTTCTGGTCCAATTTGCGGACCCTAGTTACTATATTATTAATAATTTCTATAATGCAAAATCATCACAATGATAACATCGGTCAATTATTATTTATAACTATTTATACTGGGATTCATACATGCAGTTGCAAGTGATATATAATAATATCTTAAATCTAAAAATCATATTTATTTTTGGCATATGAATGTTCTGAAACAGTTTCAATATGTTTCATTGTCTTTCAATCCTTGTTCCTCGCCTGCTATCATCTTCCTCCGCACCTATGAGGCGTGCCGCATTGTTTGGGAACCATTACCAAAGACCTACCACTGCAGCTATGGTGGCAGTACATGTTGTACCCAAAGACCCTAATGGCCTAGGAGTCTCGTGACAGTATCAATAGATTCACTTACATTTAAACTAGTTTTCTATTCAGCACTCTAAACATTTCTAATTTTAGGTGTCTGTTGTGAAAAATCCAATATTTACAAATTGGAATCTACAGATAAAAGAAAAAAATCCAGCTAGATTTTACCTCGTAGGTATTTAACAAATCAAAGACGAAAGTTTCATGACGTCGGATTTATATTAGATATAAAGCGGAATATATTGCCTTGTGACAAAATAAGCAAAATATTAATGTTAGAAACAAATAATTAACTCAAAGAACTTTCCGACTGAATGATTTTATAAGTGGCAATGACATTTTAATTCAGTTAGAAAAATAATAAAAACGGTAAATAGATCAGATTTACAAATTTTCAGGAACTCGTCGAGTAGAAGATAACTTTAAATTATACAACAGCAACTACATGGATGACTTTAAAATGTGCTGACAGAGCATTCTATGAGATTCAGCGTGCTTGCCAGGATTTATTATAAGCGAATCTAACCGTCCTACATTTTACATGTTGACGACTAATTCAGAAACAAAAATGCACCATTCCAGCCACAAAAACTACATTTAAGTGAGTGTTATCACCATGTTTTTACCCGTGCGCCGTAGGCGCCTGTAACACGGAAGTTGTCGTTCTTCGGGTCTATGCCAAACATGTATACGACCACCATCGAAATAAATATACACTCCTGTGTAAATCAATTGAAACAAAACGAATAATTCCGTTATTATTTAATTTTTTTTCCGATTTTTTCAGTGAAACATCACCCAGTGCAAATGTTAGTACTTCGTATGTCCATTCCACAAAGTTGTTCTTTGCAGATTGACCACAGATATTCGACTTCATTTAAATTTCGACATCGCCAATAATTATGTATAATCTGTGTATATTTCTGAGATGAGGTATTATGTACACCATTTACATTATTCGGATTATCGTCATCATCTTTATCGCCATATTTCTTACAACGTTTCGGCCGATGTACGCTCCGGCCTTCTTCAGGTGGTTGGAATGTCTAACTGAACCCTTTATTTCGCTCACTGGGATAGACTGTTCTAGTTCCCCGTGCTATGTTTAATGGATGTCAGAAATTCATACACAGTTCACGTGGCACAGGGGAGAAAGGCGTTAGTTATATCCAGTTACAGGACCCAAAGAGTTTGAGTTCAATACACGGTTTGAGGCAGTGGAGAACTTGGAGAGCGGAATTAACAGGAAATAACTGATAAGTGACATGCATTAAGCAGTCTACCCCAGTGAGCGAAATAAAGGGTTCAGTTCGACATTGCAACCACCTGAAGAAGACTGGAGCGTATAACGGCCGAAACGTTGTAATAAACATGGCGATGAAGATGAGGACAATAGTCCGAATTATGTAATTATTTATAACTATTTATATTGGGATTCATGCAAGCAGTTACATGTAATCCATAATAATATTTTAAATTTTAAAAGCATATTTATTTTTGGTATATGAATATTTTAAGACTGTTTTAAAATCTTTCATTTTCTTTCAATCGTTCCGCCTCACCTGCTAACATCTTCCTCCCCATTGTTATCAGCTGAACATCTGTTATATACCTGTCTGTATGTTGTATCCTATTATAAAATCAGGTTCTCACTTCTGAGTGGCAAAAATCCTAACTTTCATCTGAAAGTATAGGAGAAAATATATAATAAGTCTTTAATCTACAGTAGCATTAACGGAATGTTCTGTTTTTAGTGTGAATGTAATTTTCCTTTCACCTTCATTAGATTTTGTTACATTAATCTTCAAATAAAAACGAGGGTGCTGGCGGTTATAAACCTAAAAGTGACAACTATAATTTCGAAATAAACTAATGGCAAAAGATGTCTTGGTATATTTAGCACTCACAAGGCAATATGAAGGCGAAGAAGAAGCGAAAAATGCTGAAAAGGAGAGAAAAATATTATAGCAAGTATCAAATTGAAAATGAACGGTCAATAATTTCTTAATGGAATACAATACAGGACGCTGTGGAAAGTCATGATTGTCAGCCTATATCGTGAGATTGAGAGAGAGATAACGATATATATATATATATATATATATATATATATATATATATATATATATATATATGATTTCTAAAGAAACTTTTCGATGCTGTTTACAATAAACAAGTTATATTTTAACTCGTGGAATGTTTTTTTTTATCAAGACGAAAACTCTTTCGGCTCCCCAAAAGTTTTCTTTTTATTCGCCATCTCTAAAAAAAAAAGCAAAACTGTCTACGAACGTATCACCATCTTCCTCAGATTTCTGTGAAGAAAAAAATTAAGTTTCAATCAATCAGTTACCATTGCGTTGAGCTGACTCAAGTATTTGATAAAAACAGGATTTCAGATCAAGTTATCTTAGCCAGCAGACATTTACAAACAACAGTTGTCTGTGTCAGTCACGTCTTACAGACGGCTCACTAAAATACAAAGAACAGTCACTTTATAAAAGTGACAAAAAGGTATTTGACATTTTTCGTTCAATCTTTGCCCGCACACGTCACACATAGATACATTAGACATAAACTGAATTGAATGATGTTGATATAAAGAACTTTTAATGGTTATGTACTTTTTTTTTTTTTCTAATTATAAATTTACTTTTGTTTTGTTTTAAGACTTACCATATTTCAATCAAGGTAGTTTAAACACAACGAAGAAGACTGCTCCATTCATGAAAGATAATGTGCTGGCGACAAGAAATAACAAATAATACGACCAAAGGAATCAGAGCAAACATATAAATATGAAAAAAAAAGAAAAAAAAGAAACCCAAAAATCATATCAAATTAGGCAGACGTTAATTGTCTAGCAAAAACGATTAGTGCGTAACTTTACAGAACCTTCAAAGTAAATAATGCCTGCCTTCGAAATCAGTGCTGTGTATGATTTTGAAGTTGACGAGGATCTGAAAATTGGTCAAATTACGTGGCTACTAGATAATAAGCAGATAGAAACTGATAGAGAATGCAAGCAATACGCGGTTAAAATGATTAAAAAATGATAAGATATAATCTACACATGATGGAAGGGAGGTTTGAATCAGCTGAAATAGATAGATAGATAGCTATTGCTAATATAAATAATGGACAGTATATATATATATATATATATATATATATATATATATATATATATATATATATACAGATCTTGCTAATGTAAATAATGAACTGCAAATATAGATAGATAGATAGATAGATAATGGATAATACATATATATATTTATATATATATATATATATATATATATATATATATATACATACATACATATATATAGAGAGATAGAGAGATAGGTAGATCTCGCTAATATAGATAATGAACTGCAAATATAGATAGATAGATAGATAGATAGATAGATAAATAAAAATTTAAAGAACTTATAGGTAGAGAGAAATTAGAGAGAAAGAGTGATGGAAATCAAGCTAATATAGGTAACAGACAGAGATATATATATATATATATATATATATATATATATATATATATATATATATATTTGGACAAAATAAGAAAGTTAGTAACAGCATAATTAGATTCATATATACGTACATATTAGCACGGACACACGCAAACACATCAATACATACATACATACACACACGTATACGCACACACACACACACACTCAACTATCTATATATGTGTGTGTGTGCATGTGTGTGAATTTGTGTAAAGAGAGACGGTGGAGTAATATTCCTTTTAACAGAGAGCTACCAATAAGTGTGATAATTGTTTTAATAATATATGCTTGACCTGATATATCACCCTATCTCGATTCTCTTCTATATTTCTGCTAATTCTCAAGTGTCTTTGTTTATAACAATTCACACAAAACAGAGATATATTTTATTTTTTCTTCTTTGGATCAAATGCTGTTGACAGATCAATGGATATTTTTTTTAACATGGCCGATTTTTTCATACTTTTTTGAAGACCTTAGCTATGAATAAATTTACTCTCGATCTCATCTTAAAAAGTAGGACATCAAATAATCGACCACCATAAGCGATACATAAAAAGCAAATCAAAATTCCAACAATATCAAACAAAGAAACTTCAGTTTAAACTAAGTAAATAAAATAGTGATGTTGTGTCACACCCATACATGATATGTAGAAGGAAGACGTGTTGTTCAGTATCCTCTAATATTTACTATCTGAAGATGCAGTGGTTATGCGAAAGTCACTTTCCAAAAGCTTAGAAAATATTAAGAAACAGGTAGGTTACTTTAGAAACAAAGAAAAGAGTATTGGTCTGTTATGCAATATCGCTCCTCTTATATCGGGGTGAAGGCTGTAAAATCTCACCACAGATGGAATCAAGACAGAAATGGGGTTCTACAGAAGGATGCTGCGAATTTCATGGGCTGAACATCTGACCAACGGCGAGGTTTTACAGAAAATAGTATCAGGAAGGAGATTTATATTTAACATTAGAAAAAATCAGTAGGAATATTGTTGGCACATTGGTGAGGAAAGCGGCCTTTAAATTGTGATACTCACAGGTCATAGTAAAGTTAAATGGCATTGAGGAAAACAGCGCTTAACATACCTAAAAAGCTTGTGCAAATTGATGGCCGAAAAGGGATTTGGCGAGACAAAAAAAAAAGACAAACTTTACTAAGAGATACAAAGGACAGAAAATTGTGACGAGCCATGATCGTCCACATCCTGAAGAGACACGCCTAACAGAAGAAGAATATTTGCAAAAAAAAAAAAAAAACAAGGTTGAACTGTCCCTTAAAGAAGATGCACAAAAGAGATCGGTTTGTTCTATTCCAGAAAATTATTCTTTTTCAAAGCTTTATTTTGTAAAAGTCCTATCAGACAGAAAATAGAGTTTTTCTGAATCACTAGTCTTGAAAGAGTTCACTATCTTTTACACAGTCTTTACACAGACAGTTGATTCAGCATTTCTACATCGTTACAAGCCAGTCCCGAATATACTGGTATGTGACGTCCCTAAACACAGCCTTCGCTCGCTCATCGCTGCTTCGTTCGGGTGTCGCCGCTCCAAACGTGACGTCCGCCTGTTTGCGTCAGTCGTGTTGTCCCGTCCTTTGACGACCAACTGGCTTGGTAGCGGTCGCGGCACCCAAATGTGACGTTCTAACCTTTTGGTGATTCGGATGGGAATCTGGTTAGATTCGATATCAGCCTCGTCGTTCCCAACTCACTTCCAACGTCTGGTTACCAAAGTAACTGCGTTGATCTCCAGTCTGCCTACCCACGTTGTGAATTGATCTTAGGCAGACGAAATCAATCAGTAGTTGGGGCCGTAATGCAAATCGAGTTCAACGAGGGTGACACCGCACAAATATGCATAAAAGAAAATAAAATGATAACTCAAAAGTTCAAGGTATCAAAAAAAAAAAAAGAAGGATAACCAAACTTTATGTCTAGTTGCTGGATACATAGGACTGCGTCTATCTCCCGACCCGCTATATGGATTGTGACACGTTGTTCTTTTGTTAGGCGAGTTTTAACACTTTAAGTTGTCTGTTCTTCAAGAAATTGGTTCTTGGTGTGTCTTCAGGCGAAAGTCGAAAAAAACTTATTTTGGTGGTCTGGATCTAAGTCGCTCTTCAAAATAATTGTTCTTGGATTGAAGATGAGTTCGGAAGCTGCGCGAATCTTAGTCAGCTGCGATGCCTGCTTCAACTGAGCACTCTCCTCAACTCAACTCTGCTCAACTCTACTGAACTCAACTGAACTCTCTCTGGAACTCTCTGATTTTCGCTCGCTGCGACTTTGCTTATATGGACGCCGACCAAAACCGGGGTGGGTTTGTCGGCGCCGGAGGTTCCTCGATAATTCTAAATACCTATCCACTTCTTTTATTTTTGGTTAGAATTTTCCACTTCTTTCCATTTTGGGAGTCTTCTCTTACCCCACCTTCTCACCATACTTCAGAGGGGCGTCAACTGTCCTCCCCACTTCTTCGTAGCAACCTCTCATACCCATCCTCTAGGTGGCCGGCGGCGGCTTCCTCTCTTTGCGTCACGTGATCACCACTCGGCCAATCATGTCCAGCCGGGCGTGTGCGATCCAGCGGCTTTGTTTCAGGAAAAAAATATATATCTTGCTCAAAAAAAAAAATTATCTTTTTCTTTTCCTTTTCTTTCTTTAATCGCAGCTCTCATTTTCTCTGGCCGCCAACAGAACAATGCGACCAGTGGTGTCATAACCCCTGTTCTCATCTTGGCTTCGTTAGTCAGATTTTCGCTAATTATCCGAATGGGTGGTCGACTAACACAACACAGTCGACCGTCGCCTCGAAAAAAACAGTTCCATTGTTCTAGTCATACTTTGGCGCAAATTTCTGATAACATAGTTCTGTTATCACAGCCAAAGATGTCTTGTCAAAAAAAAAAAAACGGTCAGCCGTTACTTCGTGTGCGGCTTAGCAGACGACACAGTTAATTTTTCATATCTATCCAAAGCCCTGTATTTCACCTGTTCTTTGTCAATTATCAAAATAACATTTTCAATTGGAGTTTTTCTTAGCTAGTCGGTCTGTGGTTTGCTAATTAGATGTTTTGCCCGCATTAAGTGGCTGTTATCTATCCCCGATAACACAAGTTCGTCGCCAGAACATAGTCGATTCCCTTATCCACTTAGAATTTTTCTGCCATGGTAATGACACTTTTCGCCATTTGCTACTTATCAAAATAACATTGTCAATTGTCTCTGGTCCTGGGTGTTTTTTTTATCATCACACGCTTGGGTCTCGCCTCTCTTTTTCTTTCTTTCCTTTCTTTTTTTCCTTTCTTTTCTTTTTGCCCTGGTAAAAGTATTTCGACAGCACAAGTTCAAATGAGCCTCATTCTCTAATTCTAGAATTTCAGATCTTTATAGCTAGGTGATTCGGTTCCACAGAACTGTTGTTCGCGTGAATAATTTGCTCGAATGAAACTCACTTTTGACCAATTGAATACGGAGGGAATAATGTTGGTTCCCCCACAATATGCTTTGTTGTGAAGGTTAGAATTGGAGGAACTAAGGAATTTAATTCGTCTGAAGACTTTCCGTGGAAGAGCGATGGAACAGTAAGAGGCTTGCTACATTTTGTCGCATTGAGTTGTAGGGTGGAAAATATTTTTTCAGTCACAAGGACGTGGATAAGATTTTGGACTCTAACGAGACTGGAACTATATGACAGCAGTCCTTATTTTAGACCTGATCTGGATCTTGTAAATTTAAAAGATAGCACGAGATGTTACTGGGAAATTGCAGGGGACTGACCATTTTTCTTGCATAATTAGCGATAAATTACATGTAAGAGGTCCACTTGAGGTCTGGATTGTGATTAACGCTAAATATTTGTTCAACGCAGTGATGATCCCTGGGGGAATATCCATTCATCTTCACTGGATATTTTAGTGTCTGATCGGTGATCACAGAGTATAACTAGTTTTGTTTTCGTGACATTGGATGTAGCCAGCCAGTTTCTCCTCCACGGAGATGTTAGAACTAGATCGAAGAAGGATTTAACTGCTGATCACCGGTCGTCTACAGTTTTCGAGGTACTTATATCATCACTTATTCTTGTTTTCTCTCCAGTAATATCACACACCTCATTCTTTATTACTCTTGTAATATAAATATTCTTCATTGAGTAGATCTCGAGACTTGTATGGTGTAAAGCTTATTAAAAGAAATGACTGTTTAATGCTTGAGAGGGTTACACGATTTCTGCATGATAACATAAACACTTCTGTTGATAATACTGCCATTAATAACAACATGGGTAACAAATCAAATCTTTTTTAACAAATAACACTAGTTAAACTAGAACTTTTTACTATACAGTGCAGTTGAATCTATTATTACATCGGAATCTGATTCGGCTAATGAGATTTTAGTTCAATGTCCGAATAAGGTGTGTTTATACGCTGTTATTCTCAAGAAAGAAATTTTGATTTTATCTTTTCGTAATACAGATCTTTCATTCTGTTGACTTGCTGGGCGGTGCTGGATCTTAATGCAACAAACCTAGCTCCTGCAGCACCATTACGGTGACGTTGATTATTTTGTAAACATTACTTGCATCTTGCTAAGATGCGTATTCTATTGAAAAATCTTCATTTCCGTCGTATTTCATTGGTGCCCATTAACTTCCAATAACAAAGCTTCTTCCAACCAACCGCTACTCTGTAGGACAGACTCCATAGTGCATGCTTCTCCGATCACTTCAGTCTTAATCATTTCAAGATTAGGGTTAACCGTTATCATCCACAAGTATATCCAAGTAATCTGTGGCGCTTATCACTTAATCTGTAACAGATTACCTCCTGGGAATTGAAGAGGGTGAACACTATTGTTAAAAAAAAAAAACAAAAAAAAACAAGAGTTGGTTTGTGACAAATCATAGCAT